CATCCAAGGCCTGGGCAGCGTGAAGCCAGGGACCTGGAACTCCATTTAGGTCTCTCACATGAACAGCAGGCATCCAACTAATTGGGCCATTTTTCTAGGTACCTCAGCGGGCAGCTAGATCAGAAGCATAACAGGACAAATCAGCACTCACATGAGGTGCCATAATACAGGCAGCAGCTTAACCTACTGCGCCATAATGACAGCCCCGAAAATATGGTTTTAAAGATCCTTGTGTGCACATGTTCACAGTACCACTACTCAGAGCAGTCAACTGACAGAAACAACTCAAGTACCCATCAACAACAGATACACTAAACGTGGTGTGCATACACCAATGATTATTATTCAGCCTCAAAGAGTAAAGAAATTCTGGTACGTGCTACAGTATGGATGAACCTTTAGTGCATTATGCTAAACAAAATAAACCTGTCATACAATGACAAATATTCTATAACCATTTACATGAAGTACAGAGAAGAGAGGGGAATAGGGAGTTAACGTCTACTGAGTTTTAGTTTGGAAACATGAACAAGCTCTAGAGATGTGATGGGGAGAGCTGCACAATGTGACATGGACTTGATGCTACTGAACTGCACATGTAAAAACATCTCTCGACAGGCTCAGCGCTTTACTGGAGCATGCATCTAGTCTCTTCATTATCTCTTCACATCAAACTTGGCTAGCAATGTTTACTGCTACTGTCTCACGTCCGAAGTTTTCTGAGAGGAGGATCTTTAATCACAAAGGGAATGGAGGGACAGCAGCGAACACAGCCTTCCAGCTCCAGATGGATTAAGACAGGGCTTCCAGCCTACATCCTGGTTAATGGGATCAGTCCTCAGGCCACCTCTGAAGCCCATAGGACAGCCATAGGACAGGCAGCAGCTGCTGTACGCTCATACGTCAGCTCTGAAGACGCAAAGTGGACCTTCATTCATGTTACCTCCATGAGACTGTATTACCTGTCTTGATGGGACAATATTAAGGTAGGTAGGTAGATATGAGCCTATGTGAGTCCAAGTGGCTAAAGCAAAAACAGAAAAAAAAAGAAGAAGAAAAAAAAAAAGGAATTTGTATACAAAGAATCAGGATGCAAACCTTAGCAGCAGGTCATCATTTACATACCAGAATACCAGAAGGCCTGTCCTTACTCCACAATCTTGTTGAGATGGTCATTTGTGTGGATGAGTAAGGGACAAAGGGGCCAGCATTGTGGTACTCTAGATAAAGCTTCTGCCTTGTGATGCCCACAACTCGTATGGGCACCAGTTCATGTCCTGGCTGCTCCACTTCCGAGCCAGCTCCCTGCTAACAGTCCAGGAAAAGCAGCGGAATATAATCCAAATGTTTTGGTCCCTTGTCAACCACATGGATGAAGCTTCTGGCTCCTGGCTGCAGCCTGGCCCAGTGCTGGTCTTTGTAGCCATATGTGAAGTGACCAAACAGATGGAAGATTCTCTTAGTCCTGACTTCAAATAAGTAAAGCCTAAAGCACAAATGCACGTGCGCGTGCACACACACACACATATACACACACACAATGAGGGGAAAATGCACCAACAAACCAGCATTTATTAAAAATACTGCTATGTTCCAAAACTGGCTGGGTGGGTATCAGTCCCCTTCCCAGGGCAATTTAAGAGAATCTCATCTGTCCTTCACCAAGGGGTCTATGGTGAAGTTCCAGGAGGAATTTACATCTTCCACACCCTGAAAGCCCTGCACCCAGCAACAGGACGTGTACACGGGAGGCGAAACAGAGAACCCAAACCACACACACACATTCCAATGTGAATGCAGACTGGGCTCTCAGTTCTTTACCAAGATGGTCACCTGGTCTGTCAGACATAATCTCTTCACTACTTGTTTTAATTAAACTTGACTAGCATGCTTGCTGCTACAAAAGAAACAAACAAAATACACTACCTGCCCAGAAACACACAATGTCCAATGCTGATAAATCAAGAAGCAGCAGGGTAGAATTTTTGGAAGCAGAAAATTAAATACCAGAAAAAAAGGAACAGAGGCGGACACACTTCAAGGTATAAAAAGGGTAAGGAAACTCAGGCACCTGCAGCTTTCAGTTTTAAAACGAGCCAGCAGATAACTGCTCAATCTATACACAGGCACTATTCTGACCAAAAAAAAACGAGAACTGAAATGCCCTGTTAGAGAGCAGAATTATATTTAATCACAACGAACTGAGCATTATAGGATACTGGAAATATATAACTTGACCAATATCTCCCCTTTTCCTCTTTTGGAGATGTGGCCTGGTCAATATTGAATTTTTACTTAAAAACTAGTAAAGCTTTGTTTCTAAACATTTTGTTACATGAAAGCCTTACTCTTTAAGTTTCCTGCAATGAAGAGGAAAACCCTGATGATAAAGGGTTATAGACTGTTTTCTCAGCTGTAGCCTTCCTGGTTCAGAGCACAGGAACCCTTGAGCCCAAGAATCAGGGAAAGCATGACAAAGACCCATCAATTCACCTCACCTCTACTACATGATCAAATGAGTAACCAGGAGTTGAGGAGTATGAGGGAGACCTTTCTGTCCATCAGTCTCCAAAAGGCTCCTGCCAATTAATGTCTAAATTTCTCCTGGTTCAAAACGTCTCATCTAGTTAAAATGGTCTCTTCGGCAATGGCTAAGAAGCACACAGTATGTATATACTTAAATCTGCCAATTATGCCCCTGAAAAAAACATTAACATATTGTTTTACACCAACTTTCATAGCAACTTTACAACTGATGCAACAGTTGGGTTTTACTCCCCTCAGCAATGTAAAAGTTTTCGAATTTCTCTACATCCTCAGCAATGCTTTCCCATTTGATTTTTTCATTTCAACCATTCTAAAGACTCCAATTAGTTATTAGACTTACAAATCAAAGAGAAGAAATTATTACTGTTCTTACACAAGGACTAAGGTCAGGACTTAAATCCAGGCGTCTGGTGCCAGGGAATACTCTTGGCCACTACATTAAACTCTTAACAGCTGAAAAAAATTGAACACATTACAGGGACATCATTTTGTTAAACTGTATTATCCAATTTATCTATATGGAGAGAATAAGGTTGATAACATTATTATTTCACCTAATTCTCACAATTCTATGAGATAGATACTATTGCTACTCCATTTTCCAGATGAGGAAAGTGAGGCACAAGATCACCCAGAAAGCAAACAACGGGGCATGCATTTAAACCCCAGAGGTGATCTTACAGCCACAGGCTCCTTCCGGTGAGCCCCTTTCTACCAAGAGCCTGTCATTTTTTTTTCCCCCTCTGGTATGGGCCATCTCCTGCTTACCCCTTATAATGAAGTTTAGGTTCTCTCATTTCTTCAGCCAATCCACTATTATACATTATTAAGATGAAAATTTCAAAGAATATACTTTCACATCCAAATACTATAACTGCAAGGATTTAAAAGGGCTATTTTAAATAGAAAGTTTGCCTTTGTATTCAAAATTGAGAATGGCTTTTATTGAGTCCCCCCAAAACATACTTTTACTGCAAGATTCAGTAGCAAAACTAAATTAATACACAGAATTTCTTTACTTTAAGGAATAAAGGTATTTTGCAGAAAATTCTTAACTGGCACATTTTTGAATGTACATATGCTTAATTACCTCTTTCTTTAAAGAATTAATTAAGGATGGTCTTTCAGGACAGCCATTCATACATTGGTTTCCAAATGACCCTCAACCAGGAACCTTATTAAATGCAAAATAATCATTAACATAGAAAACACAACTATTTTCAAGGTAATCACTCTCTAACTATAGCAGCAAAGCATACACAGCTATTTTAACTCAAACTCGTTTACAGTTCAGACAGCCGTTTCACACATTAAGAACCAAGTTTCCTTCTACAGCTAATATTAATCATCACTGGCCGAGGGAATGCAATTAGTTATAATTGTCTTTAAGTTAATGGTTATCTATGATCTGAAAAAAACATTTTTTTTTGACCACTACTTTTTATTGGGTTAAACTGGTATGTTTGTAGTTCTTGCCTAAAACAATTCCTTTCTTGGAATTTCTATTGTTTGTTAAATTTGTGTCTTCATCATAGAAATATGATCTAGACAGGCAATTTAGAAACCTCTGGATGATTCCTGGTTGTGGTATGAGTCACGCTTCATTTCAGGAGCTTTCCAAGTGCACAAACCTGGGCTGGCATCTTATTTCTGCTCAAGTGTGCCTGTGAGCCTTGGTTTCCTTACTGATGAAATGGGAATGATAAAAAGCCTCAAGCACTCACTGTGAGGATCAGAGTCCCTGCAGAGACCCTGGACAGAGTCAATATTCTGCTGGTGACAACAGACTAGCTACGCTTTTCAGATCTGGATCTGGCTATCTCCTGCACACTCAAGTTTTCTGTATGTACTAAGGTATTTAACGCCTCACACTTTTTACTTAAGTTTCTGGCTCTGAAACTGAGGATTCTGCCTACAATCCATCATGAAGTTCCTTACCTCACTTATCCAGGTCTGTCTGACAAAATGGGTATCACCTTTCTCCCGGAGTTACGCTTTTCCACCTACTTGATAACTGTTCCTGACCAGGCCTTGAGGTCACTCAAGGGAGGAGCCCGTGGCTCACTGACCTCCGTTTCTCTGCAATGCCTGCTGTCTGGTAGATGCTCAAGGACTGCCAATACATCCCACAGTATTATCAAAGTATTAAAGCGTGTGAGAAACTAAGACAGAAGTTGGAGTTAAACTGTACCCACTTTGAGAGCCAGATTCGATTTGGTTTTGGGTCAAGGTAAAATTTCAAGTCACTATTTTATATGCAGTTAAGTCACCCCGGTCATGCAAAGACATGTCATGAATAAATGATGCCATTTTAATTTTTCTCCTAGTTGACATCCCCCTTTAGATTTGGAACACATGCCAACTTCTATGGGACGGTATTGAACAACGCACTGACTTCTTTCCTTTTGAAGGTAAGGGTGCCAGCAAGCGTGCCAACAGCCCCTGTCACTCACCTCAGCCACCTGCTGGGTCCCCACTCTGTGATGAACCAGCCCCTCCATATTTGTAGCCATGGTGAAGCAAGATCATTAGAGAACCTGTTTGGAAAGATGCAGCAACTTCTATCAGGTGGGGAGAAACCAGGCTACTGGAAAATATTAGTAATTACAATTTGTCTGTCTACTGTTTTTTGCAGATTTTGCCTTCAACCAGTGACAAAGCCAGCAGGCCAGGCATTCTTTATCGCTTACTTCTCAGAGATGGGAATCACACGGACCTGCCTGTACGGTTCCCCGTCACTGTTTGCTGAAGATGGCCATCTGAGAAAGGTGTAAGATCAACTTTGCATGGAGTGCTAGATTGCTATCATCAACTATACTCCTGGTGCTAGTGGGAATGTGAGAAGCAAAACCTTACCCAGGTGCTAATATACCTCACAGAAGGGTTGAAAGGCAAACATTACCACTAATAAACTAGGAGACTGTATTATAAAGTGTGCTAATAACATGCTACTACTCATGAATGTATTTATTCTTAAAGTTCTCAAAAATATATATATATAAAACCAGGTAGGGCCCGGCGCGGTGGCGCAAGTGGTTAAGTCCTCGCCTAGCACGCCCGGGATCCCATATGGGCGCCGGTTCTAATCCCGGCAGCCCCGCTTCCCTTCCAGCTCCCTGCCTGTGGCCCGGGAAAGCAGTCGAGGACGGCCCAAAAAAAGCTTTGGGACCCTGCACCCGCGTGGGAGACCCAGAAGAGGCTCCTGGCTTCGGACCGGCATAGCATCGGGCCGTTGCGCTCACTTGGGGAGTGAATCATCGGACGGAAGATCTTCCTCTCTGTCTCTCCTCTCTGTATATCCGCCTTTCCAATTAAAAAATAATAAAAAAATAAATCTTAAAAAAAAAAAAAAAAAAACCAGGTAACCCAGCTTCTTACTATTAAAAAGTCGGGGCCAGTGCTATCATTTATAAAAAAAAAAAAAAAATCAAGGACAAACATTTCCTGACCAAACAGTGTGGTTGTCTCCTAGGCAGGTCCGCTGGAGGACAAGCACCGCTGACCCAGCCGACCCCCTGGTCTCCTGTCAGGACACTTCTGCCCGAGTGTCTGCTAAACACTTGCTGGTAACTCCACCACAGAGAGCTTGAGGTAAAGAGGTCTCCTTTAGATCGAATTCTCATAGTTACACAGGAGAACAAAGCTCTAGAGTAGTCTATTTCCAGGACTTAACATATGAAAACTACTGGCCCACTGAGTATGCAATATATGCAAACACAGGCACAGTTCATCATTTGCCCTTCTTGAATCACAAACTGGAAGGTCATTCAATGAAATTTTACAAAATTGACAAAACACTTTACCAAAGTTTCAATCAGAAATATCACTAGGCACTGATGTCTGTGGAGCTCTGTAACATATATATATAACCTAGCTCTTGCTTTCAGTGAGTCAGAACTCCGTCAAAACAGGTACCAGCACAGTGGCACCGGACCACGAGCACAGGGGATCCAGTGCAGAGAATTAGGTCTTAAAACTGTGTGGAGCCATGTTTCTGGTTATCTAACCTTTTAATAATCGTAACTTTAAATTCTTGTTTCTGAAAGGAAAAACCCCAGAGAAACACTCTGGCTACAGTTTGGTACCAACTAAGGTGGAGGGGAAATGCATAACTTCAAATGTATCTGAAAAATCAACTGTCTTGTTAAGACACAATTAGGACACGTGCAATATCTCAAATTCTAATATACTTCCTTATTACACAGAAATTCTCTGGAAATCAAACGTGTAGTCAACATGTAAAATCTAAACATGTAGTTCCAACTAATAATTTTACCACTTTGAGGTGTTTTCATAATTAATGCTGTTACTAACCACGGTGTAATAATGTAAATGTCAGGATGGGCTGGCGTGGTGGCGCCATGGGTAAGCTGCACTCTGATGCTGGCTGCTCTGCTTCTGATCTAACTCCCTGCCAGGGCACCTGGGAAGGAGAGCAAGCCAGCCTGAGTGCCTGGGCTCTCCCGCACCTGGAGACCTAGACCGAGTTCCTGGCTCCTGCCTTTGAATTGGCTCAGCCCCAGCTGTTGCAACAATTTGGGGAGAAAACCAGCAACAAAAGACCTCTGTCAAAGTCTTCCAAATAAGTAGGTAAGTAAATCTTGAGGAAAAAAATGTAGAAAAAGAAAAAACGTTAAGAAAATATTATTGAACATTTCAGAAACAATGAAGTGCTGCAAGGCAAACCCTTCCACTGGGCTTTCCTCAGGGAAGAGGCTTCACCTGCAACTTTTTGGCTGACATGGATTTTAGTGATCATCTATTTAACAGGGTTAGCATTTCAGAAATTTGTCTGTAATGATTAAATTTCACACTACATGTGCAACTTTAGTTAAGGCATGCATTGCAATTATTGTCACTTTGTGACATTTTTTTCCTTCATAGTCTTAATAAACAAAAGTTCTTAAATTTTAAAATGCTGATTAATATTTTTTACAGTTCACATTTTTCTGAAAATCCTTCCCTTTCTTAAGTTTTTTCTGCTTGTATAAGATTATTTGAGGGCCCGATGTGATAGCCTAGCGGCTAAATCTTTGCCTAGTATCCACCGGGATCCCATATGGGCGCCAGTTCTAACCCTGGCAGCCCCACTTCCCATCCAGTTCCCTGCCTGTGGCCTGGGAAAGCAGTTAAGTTCGGCCCAAAGCCTTGGGATCTTGCGCCTGCATGGGAGCCTGGAAGAAGCTCCTGGCTTCAGATGGGCTCAGCTCCAATGGTTGCAGTTACTTGAGGACTGAACCAATGGATCTTTCTCTCTGTGTCTCCTTCTCTCTGTATATCTGCCTTTCCACTAAAAAAAAAAAAATAAATAAAAAGAGAGAGAGAGAGATAACATCTTTAAAAATAAGATTATTTGAAAATCAGGCTGACAGAAAAGAGACAAAGAGAGAAATCTGCTGGTTCACTCCCTACTCGGCTGCAGCTGCTCAGGCATTCCAACGGGTGGTGGTTCAAGCACTTGGGCCATCTTCCACTGCTTCCACTGGACAGGAAATGGAGTAGCTGGTCTCCAACTAGTGTTCCAATATGGGATGCCCACACTGCCGTTGGCCTACCTTAAAAGTTTTAACTTTAGTAACTTTTTGTATTATAAATTTTAGCAGCTTTTTCCCTCATACTTAGGTCCACAATCCATTTGCAACTAATTCTTGAGTTTGATAAGGAGTAATTAATTTTTTACTTTATGATCAATCAATTTTCCGGCACCATTTCCTGAACTTTCCACACTGACTTGCAGGGCCACCTCTGCCACATCTTGGTTTCCCTGTACATGTGGAAGGATGCAAGTCTAGCTCCTCTATCTGTACCACTACTGTTGTAGTTATTTTTCTGTCACCAGCATTTTCTTATCACCAAGCTCTAGAGAAGACTTGCTCTCGGGTAGGACGAATGCCCCCCACCTGGTTCTCCCACACCAACTTCCTGGACCATCTCAAGCGCCTTTCTTTACACACTTGAACTGAGCAGCAAGCTTTCTTTATACACTTGAATTCTTACAATTCTTGATCTCACTGTTGGTTTTCTGCCTCCAAAGCAGCTTCAGGCATCATCAACAGCAGCTTTGAAAGCTGCTTAAAAATGAGCAAGGAGAAGTATTCACCTTCTGAAAAAACAAGCAGAGACAAAGGGTGAGAATAAGAGAGTACTACACAAAGCAAGCGCCTTCAATAAAGATTTACATCCAATCAGAATGGGCAAGTGAGAGGCAGTTTTACAAAACTTTTTCATTTCATCACTTTTGAAAATATTTAAGTCACAAACCATATCCTATCTTCATAGCCAGAGGTATCTTCCAGGATATCACATGTAAGGATGAAATTCTGAAGAGGTGTCAGGAAGGGGCGGGGGAATCATTCAATTAAAGTGTATCCAGAAAAACAACAGAAAGATCACGTCAGGGACAAGTCTCTCACCTGAGAGCTTCGCTTACTGCTAACACAGCCATAGGCGGTCCTAGAGACAGAAACATCACCTGGTGAGACAGAAGTTCAGAGATCTCTGAAAGGGCAGGGGGCAAACCGCAGAAACAAAGCTTTAAACACAAACAAACAAAGCAACCTTCCTGGCTGCTGCAATGAAGTCCATTAACATTAACATTTACAAAGTGGTCACTGTGCACCGGGCACTGCATTATCACGCCTCCAGTAGAATCCTAAAGTAATTCTTGGCATAGAAATAGGAGTTTTAAAATTTGGCACTCGACTCATTCTGGTCCTTAGCCTCCAAAGACTGTCCACACGTAACAATGTTCACAGGAAAGAACCTGATTTGTTGCTCAACAGCTACAAGACCCAGTACAGAAAAGGCTGTGGAATGCCCTCCTCAAGCGACCTTAACCTAATCAAACCCAACCACCTTTATCAACCCTACCAAGCAACTGCATAAACTTGTCAATGAACCATCTGCTGATAATTAATACCACCATCATCAAAATAAGAAGGGAAGAGGAAAAAAAAAAAAAGAGCACTTTGTCCTTGATAAACTTAATAGGAAACCAGTTAGTGTCCATGCAGTGCCAATGCTACAATGAGCACCTCACGGAAGAAGCATGTCCTGTCTTGGGAAATCTGAGAATTTTACAGGACAAGAGATATTCAAAGGAGATCTTGCAGGGAGAGTGGAGATTCAGCAAGCAAAGGAAGGGGGATCATAGAGTTCTAAGCCAAGAAGACAATCTGCATTCAGAGACACGACAGAGCCATGGCAGACTCAAGAGAGAGCAGGCAATCCGTGACGGACTGCTGCAGGTCAAGGGGAGGAGAAAGACTGGCACTGCACCCAATGGACAAGTATCAGGAACTTGGCAGGGCAATGACATGATCAAGTATGGATCTTCAAAAAATGTAGCTTGTGCAGCAGTGTGATGATGGCAAACGTCAATACTGTTCCCCAGGGGGGCTGGTCACAAAGTGATGACACAGTCAGCTCAGAGATGAGGGAAGATTCTTGAATTCAGCTTGAATTAGTGACTTTTTTTTTCTAGATAGTACACACTATGTAATATACTAAAACATGCAGTAGAGACCAAAGGAGGGCAGAAATCAGTGACTTTCTGGCTTTCTGTGGCAGGTTCCTCAACCCAAAGTTTTCCAAATGTAAGGACACATCATCCCTTTAGCAAAGAAGCATAAGAAACACAACAGTGAATCTGAACCAACTCTTCCAGGCTTGCCAAAGGTGACAGCTGACTAAGCCTTGTTAAATAGTGTTTTAGTCCCACTGCAGGAGGGACTGGGCTGACTGGAAGTCTCTCAATCTCACCAGTGGCCAGGACAGCCCAGTCACGCTCTCCACAGGCAGAGGCAAGAGCTGGTATCTTGTGTAGCAACAAACAAGCCCTGGAACAAGGAAACTCTTCACTGACAGGGTCACATGAACCTGCCTTCCCTCCACAATCAACTGGTTCAAATCATTCATGTTTATGTTTTACAGGCCCAGGACTACGTTAACATCCAAAATATCTTCCATCTTGATACTTCCTTACTCAAACAAGAATGCTGGGTTGTGAGATTAAGGCACTAAGCTAACTCTCCGTTACTGACCATATGACGTTGTTGGGAAGATTAGATATAAAAGTGATGTATTATGCCAAGCGTATAACAGGCAATACATGACAGCCACCAGTGGCAGAAGGTGAAAGAGTAGCTTTCACTTTCTCAATAAAACATGTTACCATTAGGAAAATGGAGATGTATTACCATTAAGAAGCTCATGAAATTCAAATGGATATGCATGTATTACTACCAACACACACATACAACAGTTACAATTCTCTCCTTGCTAAGCTGACTGGGAAAGTAAGGGACGATGTCTAAAGGGCTTGGGCTCTTGTCACCAACATGAGTGACCTCACTGGAGTTCCTGGCTCATGACTTCAGCCTTCCCCAGCCCCTGCCATGCTAGCCACCTGTGGAGTGAAACCAATGGATGGAGGGTTGGTCTCAGGATCTCTCTCTCCCCCTCCCCTTCTAATTCTGGCTTCCAAATAAATAATTCTTTTTTTAAGAAGATTTATTTATTTTTATTGGAAAGGCAGATTTATAGAGAGAAGAGACATAGAGGAAGCTCTTTAATCTACTGGTTCACTCCCCAAATGGCCACTATGACCAGAGCTGAGCCAATCTGAAACCAGGAGCCACAAGATTCTTCCGGGTCTCCCATGCAGGTGCAGGGGCCTGAGGACCTTGGGCCATCTGCCCCTGCTTTCCCAGGCCACAAGCACGGAGTTGGATGGGAAGCAGGGCAGCTGGAACACAAACCGGTACCCATATGGGATCCTGGCACTTGCAAGGGGAGGATTAGCCAATATAGCCAATGTGCCAGGCTCAAAATAAAAAATTCTTTATTAGAAAATAAAAACCTTTGTGGAGCTGGCATTGTGTCTGTGACATCAGCATACAATACGGGCACTAGTTTGTGGCCCAGCTGCTCCACTTTTGATCCAGCTTCCTGCTAATGTACCTGGGGAAGCAGTGCTCGGGGCCCCTGGTACTCCTACAGGAGGCGGCTTGTGACTTTTGGCTTTGGCCTGCCACAGCCCTGGCTACTGTGATAATCAGGGGAGTAAACCGGCAGATGGAAGCTCTCTCCTTCTCTAACTCTAAGTAAATGAAATATATTCTAAAACAAAAATTAACAAACAGTTAACAGTTGAACATTGACATACTGTGCTTTTAGCCTTGACAGAGCAATTAATAGGTCATTTTCCAAGTCCAATGTCATTACTTTGGTGGGACTGGGGGAGGTTCTGAAAAAGAGCTGTACAAATGACACTTTTGAAATGTGCCACAAATAATAATAAAGTTCCCTAGAAATAAAACCATGGGGGGGGGGGGGATTCAGGAAGCAGCTGTTTTTTTCTCAGGGGAGCTGATAGCAACATGAGCAGGCAGCTGGGGGGAGTTTCTGAGGGCAAACTCAGACCATTAGGCAGGAACTTTCTTTCCCTTGCACTCTTTCTTTCATTATGTGCACAATAAAGGTTAAGTCGTGCAGCTCCCTGTAAAACCAAGGAGCCATCGAGTTTGAGCCTTGCTCCACCAGCCCTCCATTTCTGCCCCTCACCCTTCATTAGCAGGAGTCCTTTTTTCCAGACTGCAATATCATCTCTCACCTTTCCTACAAACCCAAACAGGAGAAAATGACATCTTCTTTTATACTTGGAATCTTGCAACACAATCCTTTATCTACCTGTTAACAGTCCCAGGAATTAGAACCTCTTGGATTATTGTCAGTAATTATGGAATAAAAGGTTCTACCTTGTATGAAGAGACTCCAACCTCCTCTTACGGTGGAAGAGGGACTCGAACACTGACTTTCATCATCATAGACTCTAGGGTCCAGAAGTTAATCAGAAAGGTCAGTTAGGGCTCGGAGGTGAGCTCTTCTTATTATCTTAATAAAGTTACATCCTACCGCTCTGCACCAAAGGTCTCAATCTGCTTTTACAGTGTCCTTAGGGAACATCCCCTCCCAAAGCCGGGATCTGAGCTTTCACCCTCAGTCCACTCCCCCTCCATCACTGCTGTTCCCTGACAGGCACCCTGGAATGGGGCACCTGCTGCTTAAGTCTCTCCAGCATGTGAGGAGCACACCTGCCACCTGGGTGGCGCAGGTGGCTGACAAGAGACACAGGAAAGGAATACAGGATGGGAGGAATGACAGAATCTCAGCCTCTAGGGACATTAGGATGAAAGTAGACATCCACAATGAATAAGGAAGACCTGAACTTTTACATATTGTGACAATATTTTACATATTGTTTACATTAAGTGAAGGGCAATGATCAGACATGGAAGAGAAAAACCAGCATTATTTAAATTCCTCCTAATCGGGGAGTGGCATAGCACACTAATCCTCAGGCATTGGCAACCCGTAGAGCCCTGTCCCAACTGCTCCACTTCTGATCCAGCTCCCAGATTCTTCTTAGGAAAGCAGTAGAGAATGGCTCAAGTCCTTGGACCCCTACACACATGTGGGAGACCCAGAGGAAGCTCCTGGCTTCAGATCAGCTCAGCTCTGGCCATTGTGGTCATTTAGGGAGTGAACCGGTGGATGGAAGATCTCTCACTCTGTGTCTCCTTTTCTGTATAAATCTGCTTTTCAAGTAATAAGCAAGTAAATCTTTTATGAAATTCCTCATTATCAACACTAAAGAGATAAAACTAAAATCTGGCAGTGCGCTTTGTGTCAAGCGTGAGCCTGGCACTGAGGGGCTGTAAGGATGCGTCTGCTTAGGAATCTCAGGATTCCTCCACCAACCCTTCCTTTATGGCGTTCATTAAGGCCATATCTGGATCGGTTTTAGGAGAAAGCAGCGCTGGCCTTAAAGGAGCATACAGCAGATAAGGGAGAGAACTGCAAGACAGCTGCGAAGAGGAGGGCTCTTACAAGGAGACACTCAGGGAGCCAGGCCCAGAGCCCAGCTGCTGAGCACTGAGGCTGACCGCAAGGCTGCTCCGCACAGCCTCCCTTCCATCAAGTGGGCCTTGCTCATTTAAAAACTTCTGATATGCAAAATAAGTCAATTCAAAGGTTCTATTTACCATTCTTCCCAGGGGAAGCTTGACATACACTTTCTAGAACATACTTTGACAGCGGCAAAACAATTAAAAGCTGATTTTTCAGCAATTTCACTGCATAAATTTATCTTTGCAAAGATTTTAAATATTTGAAATGAAAAGTCAAACTCAATTCCCAACATTTTGCAAATCCTCTAAGGGATTCTCTCCTGCTCTTTTATTCCTTGTGACAGAAAAACAAAACCTTAATTTTTAAAAAAAATTGCTTCACTTGAGGGGCAGACCATCTGAGACAGAAGGGCTCCCATTGCTGGTTCACTCTCTGAGACTCCAGCAGCGTGGACTGTGCCAGGGCTGATAGTGGCAGCAAGGAGCTCAAGCCAGGTCTCCCATGTGGGTAGTGGGCACCCAACTATTCAAGCCCAAACCTGCTGCCTCCCAGCACCCACGCCGGCAGCAAACTGGAATCAGGACAGACCTGGGAATCAAAACCAAGCTTTCCAAACGCTGGCTCCCCAAACTAGAATTTCTGATTTCATAATAATCACACTGACACTATACCCGGTTTTCTCAGTGAAGGGAAATGACATGCAAGTGACTGCCACAGCCCTTGGGATGCCCAGCACTCACAGGAGGAACTGCTCCTAGCCCTAGCTGCAGCTCCATCCAGTTTCCTGCTAACACACGTCCTGAGAGGACAGTGCACCCCGGCTGCAGTGCTCAGGCTCCTGCGACTCACATGGGAGACTAGACGGAGTTTATGTTCCTGACTTTGGTCTGGCCCAGCCCTGGCTGTTGCATGGATTTGGAGAGAGAATGAGAAGATGGAAGACTCATTTTGCCTTTTAAATAAACTGAAAAAAAAAAAAAAGTTCTTGAAAAGTAAATGGTATGATTATATTTGGGCTATTCATTTCTTCACACATGAACTGACCTTCATGTAAATGAACTTAAACCACCTAATTATACTTATTTCTTGCCTTTGAAAAGGAGCATCACCATCTAATCATCTAATAATCCATAAAAAGGATTCAAATGGATCATCTTACCCATATTTAGTCATCTTACCCATATTTAGTATCTTCTTACAGTGGAGATCTTGCCAGGAATCACTTAATTTTCTCCAGGCACTGTAAAGGACATTTTATTGCTCAAAGAGCTATTTAAATTGCCAAACGAGTCCACATAGAAAAGCACCCATTTTCAGCTGCCACTTAGTTATCAGTAGTATCATAAGTTACCAACAATTCAATCACTCAACAAATAGTTAGGCATTTTGCTAAGTGCTGGATACAACAGTGAGCAGAGAGATTTGTGTTCTCAAACCTAACAGCGTGGTAAGGACAGACAGTAATCAAACAAATCACATCATAGAGCATGCAATTAGAAAGTGAGGAAAAAGTTCTATTGAAACAAAGTAACACAGCCAATTAGTCTGGGAGGTTGGAAGAAGGTAGCACCTGAGAACCTTAGGGTGAGGACCGACAGTGTGAGCCTGGGGTGCAGAGCAGGCCAGGCCGTCAGGAAGTTAGCTGGGCTAGCATGTCTGAGCACAGGCAGCTAGGTGTACAAGGCTAAGAAAATTACAACCTCTAGGAAAGCCTTCCAACAGACAGCAGGTTCAACATCGTGAGTGGGTTGTAGTGGACTTGAGAATTTAATGTTTCTAAATTCTGAAAAGCACAGTTTTTTCCATTACTGTGTCCCTGACTAGTGCTTCATGACCAGTGACTCCCAGCTTTCATGGAGTATTCACCACGTGCCAGTTATTTAGTCCAGGTTTTTTACTCACATTAACTCACAGAATCCTCAACTCTAGAAGGAAGGCTACATTACTGTGCAAATGTGGATGCCAAGGCTCAGCAAGATTAGGAACTTGTCCTAAACCCTGAACTGCTTGTAAGTGTTGCCACTGCTCACTCCACAATGATTAGCTCCTGCCTTAAACATGTTAGTGTGCACAGAATCTGTACCGGATGGGGGGTGGGAGAGGGAGTGTCGGAAGTGGAGAACGGGCAAGCAAGACCCGACAGGCCCCTTGGAGTCATTTTCACAAACAATTGAGGCTCAGCCACCTTTGCATTCTCAGCGCAGCCTCAGCAGGTACTTCAAGACCTGCAGATGGACCTAGGAGGCCAACAAAGGATTTCAATTCTGAAACTCATTTTCTGAGCTCCCTCCCCAACTCATCAGGCCGTGAGTAGTTCCCGTGAGGGATGTGTTTTCCCTGACTGGTTTTCCACTTCCTTTGTCACAATTCCAACATGGCCTTGAGGCAGGACAGTTCCTGTCCCAGCCCGCACCTTCCACTTGCCGCCGGCCCCGCTGTCCCTCCACAGTCCTTTGCTGGCTGCCCAGTCAGAGCCCTGGACCACCTAATGCGC